GTGCTGCCATACCCAGCTCCTTTTCTAATTTTTTTTTGTAGAGATGAGGTTTCACTGTGTCACCAAGGCTGGTCTTAAACTCTTGGCCTCATGGGATCCTCCTGTCTTAGTCTCCCAGTGGGCTGGGATTATGGATATGAGGCACCTCACCTGACCTGTGATGAGTTTTTGACAATGTCATTCCTTTTGTACAGAAGCACCTAAGCTGAAGAGTCCCTTGAGAACAAGTACTATCCTGTGGTTTTATAACCTTTCTTCCATTTGTGGTTCTTGCCAAGTTAAATTTAAATTACATCTTATCAAGATAGATAAACCCAAGTTTTCCAGAGCTGGAATATAGAAAATGGATTGACCTATAAGTCCTACTCACCCATAGCCAAGGCATGGGGACCTCAACACACCTGGGCCCTAAACATCACCTTTCATTGTGAGTAGCTCTGAGATAACACTTCTGGTTGGTAAGTGCCCACTGGCAAAAGTTTATGTAACAGCAAGTGAAGGAATAAAGAGTCAACAAAACATTTTCTGTTCCCAATTCTAGCATGAATTTGATTAGATATTCTATGAAGAATTTTCATATGCCACAGTTCTGACCAAATTCTCAAATGAACCAAAAATTATATTTAAAAGTCAACCTTCTTTCTCACTCTGTTGCCCAGACTGGAGTGCAGTGGTGCAATTATGGCTCAGTGCAGCCTCAACCTCCTGAGCTAAAGCAATCCTTCCTCAGCCTCACAAGTAGCTGGGACTGCAGATGCTTGCATGGATTTTGGTATTCACAGATATTGGGGAGCTGGAACCAATCCCCCCATATACCAAGGGACAAATGGTATGTTTTGTTTTGTTTTGTTTTTGAGACAGTCTTGCTCTGTTGCCTAGGCTGGAGTGCAATGGCACAATCTCAGCTCACTGCAACCGCCACCTCCCAGGGTTAAGAGTGGGCTAAGATTACAGGTACCTGCCATCATGCCCAGCTAATTTTTGTATTTTCGTAGAGACAGGGTTTCACCATGTTGGCCAGACTGGTCTTGAACTCCTGACTGCAGGTGATCTGCCTGGCCTCAACCTCCCAAAGTGCTGGGATTACAGCTGTGATTCTCTGTGCTGGGACTTTTTTTTTTTTTTCCCCCCCAAGATGGAGTTTTGCTCTTTTGCTCCCAGGCTGGAGAGCAATGGTGCACTCTCAGCTCACCACAACCTCCACCTCCCAGGTTCAAGTGATTCACCTGCCTCAGCTTCCTGAGTAGCTAGGATTACAGGTACCACCACACCTGACTAATTTTGTATTTTTTAGCAGAGATGGGGTTTCTCCATGTTGGTCAGGCTAGTCTTGAACCCCTGACCTCAGGTGATCCACCTGCCTTGGCCTCCTAAAGTGCTGGGATTATAAGTGTGAGCCACCGCACCCAGCCTCTATCTGTTTTTACAATTATACTGTTAAATACATGATGTTCCATGACAGTGGTAAATTTTTAATGACCATTTTTAATTGAGTGGAATTACCATAAAGATAATAAAAGTAGCAGCTAATATTTACTGAGCTGTTACTAGGTGCCTTTAAATACCATAGATTTCTAAGTTCCCCGTAACTCTTCCTTATTTTGCTTAACCGCTCTATCTTAAATTGCTCATGCTTGCTTCAGTAGCACATATACTAAAGTTGGAACAATAGAGAGATTGGCATGGCCTCTGTGCAAGAATGACGTGCAAATTTGTGAAGTGTTCCATATGTTTTTAAAACAAAAATATGACTCCTAGATTTTCACGGTGTTTGTGCATATGACCTTTTGTTTAGGTTGAATTGTATCCGAAGATGATATTTCCAGAAATGAGATTACTGTGAGTCACAGGACATTAGCATTCTTGTTATACTTGATGTAAACTGCCAAGCTTTCAGGCATGGTGGCTGTTGGCCTATAATTCCAACACTTTGGGAGGCTGAGGTGGGAGGATTGCTTGAGGCCAGGAGTTGGAGGAGGCAGTAGAGTGAGTCACTGTATTCTTTTTTAAAAATTTCCAAGCTTTACCCTGGTGGAACGCTTGTATACAATTTAAACATCACTAATAGTAAAAGAAAATGCCCATTTCACTGCACCTTTGCTGGCACAGGGTACAATTACAAGTTATTTTTTTAAATGAAAGACCTCATAAATTTTGTTACATTTTAATATCTATTTTCTTATCTTAGTTTATTAGCTTTCTCTCTCTCTCTTTCTTTCTTTCTTTCTTTTTCTTTCTTTCTTTGTTTCTTTCTTTTCAGATGAAGTTTCACTCTTGTTGCCTAGGCTGGAGTGCAATGGCACAATCTCTGCTGACTGCAACCTCCTTCTCTTGAATTCAAGCCATCCTCTTGCCTCAGTCTGCAGAATAGCTGGAATTACAGGCATGTGCCACCATACCTGGCTAAGTATTTTCAATAGAGACAGGGTTTCTCCATGTTTGTCAGGCTGGTCTCGAACTCCATAAAGTAATCCAACTGACTCAGCCTCCCAAAATGCTGGGATTACAGGTGTGAGCTACCGTGCCCAGCTAGCTTTCTTTTTTGCTCCCTTTTTTTTTGGGGAGACCAAGTCTCACTCTGTAGCCCAGGCTTGAGTATGGTGGTACAGTCTCGACTCACTGCAGCCTTGACCTCCTGGGCTCAGGTGATCCTTCCACCTCAGTAACTGGGACTATAGGCACATGCCACCATGTCTGGCTAATTATTTTTGATTTTTAATAGAGACAAGGTCTTGCCATGTTTCCCAGTCTGGTCTGGAATTCCTGGCCTCAAGCAATTCTCCCACTGCCCCCTCCCAAAGTGCTGCTATTATAAGCATCAGCCACCAAGGTTGGGCTGTCCATGTCTTTTCTGTTTATTTATAGAGTTAACGTGTCTTTTACTAATTAGATGATCTATATATTTAATCTTTTATTAAATTATAAAAATAGTGAAGACTTTCAAATGAAGAAGTGAAAAACTTCCTTTACGCATTAGACCCATAATCTTATCTCATGAAATAATTGGCCATATTCTTCAAATACATATGGGCTAATTGAATATCACTTCTCATTTTCATATTTCGTGGACATCTGTGTCAATTTCTATTGATCTATCTGAATCCTTTTCATGGTTTCCTAATGTTTTATCATATGGATATATCACAATTGACCAGTCAGCCTCTATAGCCATTTAAGCTCCTTCTAATATTTGCTTTGAGCTCTTTATATCATTAAAAATTAACCTCCTCAGCAGGTTGTGGCAGGTGTGGCAGCTCACACCTGTAATCCCAGCACTTTGGAAGGCTGAGGTGGGAGAACTGCTTGAGGGAGAAGGATCACCACCAGCCTCGTCGACATAGCAGCACATTGTCTCTAAAAAACATTCAAGATAGCATGAGCTGCACATTGCGGTCCACACCTGTAGTCCGAGCTACTGGGGAGTCTGAGACTGGAGGATCACTTGAGCCTAGGAGGTCGAGGCTGCAGTAAGCTGTGATCACACCACTGCACTCCAGCTTTGGTAACAGTAAGAATGCATTTCTTAAATAAAATAAAAATTAGGTTGGAAGATTGCTGAAGTCGTGTAGGTTGAGTCTGCAATGAGCTGTGATTGTACCACTGTGGTCCAGCCTAGGGGATAGAGCAAGATTCTGTCTCAAAAAAGTAAAATACAATAAAAATTAACCCTTTAGCATATCTCCCAGTAACACCTTCCCTCTAATGTTTTTCCTAGAAGCTCTTGGATTTTGTTTGCTTTTCACGTATCTTATAAAACTTTTATGGGATTGGTTGGATGTCCGCCTCATTCCTTCTTTTATTTTTAAAGAATGTCTTTTTGTCACTTCCAGCTGGATCTACCATGAAAGACACCAGAGTTCAGGAGGAGACTGGGCATCATGTTACTCAGGTACAAAAAGACTTGGACAATAACTCAAAAATGATCAAATAATAGTGCATGCATCACGTGCAATGGGAAGCTCTTCTGGAGAGTGGGAGAAGCTTCCAGATAAGGTGACAGTGAAACTGGCCTTTGAAAGATGAGGAAGAGTTGTGTGAGAGTAGGGAGCGAAGGGGGATGTGGAGGGATGGGGAATGGGCAGGGAAACCAGCACTGTAAAGACCTGGACAATTAAGGTGGCACACTTGGTTCAGGGAATGGGGAATGAGGTGTGGCAGGAATGCTCTGGAGAGACAGTAATTTGCTTGTATGGAATTTTGCCTGAGAGACCTCACTACAGTTTCTGATCTGGTGATGTTATCGTCCATCACTGTCCCTGTCAGATAGTTTGGAATAGGTGTGATGATCACAGTAACATCAAGCATAATATTTCATGAATTCTCACAAAGTCACAGGCAGGTACCAATTATCCCCATTTTATGAATGAGGTGATAAAGACAGGGATGATGAGTGATTCCCCAAGCTCACATGGATACTAAGCTGAGTCAGCTGTAGGGACTGCTTTGACTTTAATGCTTGCTCTTTTCATGAGCACCATGTATTGCTTCTCCTATGCAGTTAGGCAGGTAGGTGAAAGAAAAGCCCGTGTTTCTCTCTAGTCACACACTTTGACTGACTGACTGTGTGTGTGGAGCTCATACACCAAATTCTCCAGTGTTCTGGATAGTAACTGGGCATCTCACAATGTTATTCTGACACTACCTGGAGCTGGCACAGACCCTGCAGGTTAGGCGTTTAGTCCCATGAGACTACCCCCACTTCAGATGCCAATGGCAAGTATTAGGTTTTCTCCTGTACCTTTGACCAAGCTATTACAAATCAGGGGTTCTCATGACCCCCTTTGATTTAATCATTTGCTGGAACAGCTTACAGAACTCAGAAAAAGTTTATTTTCTTTTTTTCTGAGAGACAGGGTCTCATTTTGTTGCCCAGGCTGGTGTGCAATGTTGCAGTCATAGCTCACTGCAGCCTCAACTGCCTGGGCCCAAGTGGTCCTCCCCGCTCCCTAGTAGCTGAGACTACACGCCTGCACCACCACATCTGGCTAATTAATTTTTTTGTAGTGATGGGAACTTGTTTTGTTGCCCAGGCTGGCCAGAAATTCTTGGGCCCAAGTGATCCTCCCACCTCAGTCACTTAAAGTGCTGGGATTACAGATGTGAGCCACCACATCGGTCAGTTCATTTTTGTTCCTGGTTCACTGTAAAGGATATGTCTGAGAAACAGCCAGTGAAAGAGATGTGCGTGCTGGATGCAGTGGCTCATACCTGTGATCCTAGCACTTTGGGAGGTTGAGTTGGGAGGATCTCTTAAACGCAGGAGTTTGAGTTCAGCCTGGGAAACATGGTGAAACCCTCTCTCTATAAAAAATACAAAAATTAGCTGGGCGTGTTGATATGCACCTGTAATCCCAGCTACTCAGGAGGCTGAGGCAGGAGAATCACTTGAACCCAGGATGCAGGGGTTGCAGTGAGCTGACATCATGCTACTGCACTCCAGCCTGGGCTACTGAGCAAGATTTTGTCCCAAAAAGTAAATAAAAATAAATAACTAGGTGTGGTGGTGTGCACCTGTAGTTCCAGCTACTAGGAAAGCTGAGGTGAGGATGCATTGAGCTGGGGACTGGGGAAACTTAGGTTGTGGTGAGCTGAAATTGTGCCACTGCACTCTATCCTGGACAAAAGAGCCAGAACTTGTCTTTAAAAAAAAAAGAAAGAGGAGAAAGAAAGGAAGGAAAGGGGAGAAAGAAATGAAACAAAGATGGATGCCCAAGGGAAGGTAAGTGGGAGGTGCACAGAGCTTCCATGCCCTGTGTTCAACATGCCGCTTTCCCAGCAGCTCCTGTGTTCAGCAACCGGAAGCTCTGCAAACCCTGTTGTTCAGGCTGTTTACAGAGGCTCTGTTATGCAAGCATGACTGATAAAATCGGCCATTGGTAATTAAGTCAATCTTCAGCCACTCTCCCCTCCTGGAGTTCAGCAGGTGAGGCTAAAAGTTCTAAGCCTCTAATCATGTGGTTGCTTTCTCTGGCAATCAGCCCTCCTCCTAAAGAAATCCAGGAGCGTGCAGCCACCCAGTCATCTCAACTGGGGATAAGAATCCATAAGAAATGCATTCTTAGCATGCTGGAGATCCCAAAGTTCTTAGAGTCTCTTATGTTAGAAAGCTGGGGCCAAGACCAAATATTAAAACTAAAGTTACTCCTATCACCTCTATGACTGAGGTCTTTATAAGCATTCAAAGCTCTGTGCCAGGAACCGTGGACAGAGAACAAGTATATATTTATTTTCTTTTTTTTTTTTTGAGACAGAATATCCCTGTGTCATCCAGGCTGGAGCACAGTGGTATGATCATAGCTCACTATAGCTTTGACCTCCTGAGCTCAAGTGATCTTCCCATCTCAGACTTCAGAGTAGCCGGGACTACACATGCATGTCACCCATGTCCAGCTCATTTTTGTAGAGATGAGATTCAGTTATGTTGCCCAGGCTGATCTCAAACTCCTGGGCTAAAGCCATTATTTCACCTCAGCCTCTCAAGTAGCTGGGACTGCAGGCGCTCACCACCATGTCTGGCTAATATTTATTATGCTTTTGTAGAGGTGGGATCTCACTATGTTGTCCAGGCTAGTTTCAAACTCCAGGCCTTAAATATTCTTCCTGCCTTGACTTCCCAAAGTGTTGGGATTATGGGTGGGATCCACCATGCCCAGCGGTCACAAAGATCCTTATAAAAGAAAGAGGTTAGAAGAGTCAGAATTGGAGCAGGAGATGTGGTGGTGGAAGCAGAGTTAGAGAGGGAGATTTGCAGATGTTTCACTTCTGGCTTTGAAGATGGAGTTAATGGCCATGATCCAAGGAATGGGGGTGGCTTCTAGAAGCTGGAAAAGCCAAGGGAACACTTTAGAGCCTCCAGAAGGAATGCAGCCCTGCTGACACCTTAACTTTAGCCTTATTAGACCTAATTTGGGCTTCTGATTCCCAGAAGTGTAAGTTGGTAGATTTGTGGTGTTTCAAGGGACTAATATAGGGTAGTTTGTGGCAGCAGCAAGAGGAAATAAACATGACACCAAGCATCGTGGCTGATGGTGGTAATCCCAGCACTTTAGGAATCCTAGCGGGAGGATCACTTGAGGCCAGGAGTCCAAGATCAGCCTGGGCAACATAGTGAGACCCTGTCTCTACGAAAAATTAAATTGACCGGGTGTGGTGGCTCACTCCTGTAATCCTAACATTTTGGGAGGCCAAGGATCACCTGAGGTCAGGAGTTTGAGACCAGCCTGGCCAACATGACAAACCCCCATCTCTACTAAAAATACAAAAATTAGGCATGGTGGCACACAGCTGTGATCCCAGCTATTTTGGAGGCTGAGGCTGAAGGATCACTTGAACCTGGGAGGTGGAGGTTGCAGTGAGCTGGGATTGCACCATTGCACTCCAGCTTCAGCAAGAAGAGTGAAACGCCATTTCAACATAAAACAAATTAGCCAGGCATGATGGCATGCACCTATCGTTCCAGCTACTAGGGAGTCTTGAGGTGGAAGTATCGGTTGAGCCTAGGAATTCGAGGTTGCAGCGAGCTGTGATTGCACCACTCTGCTCCAGCCTTGGTGATAGAGTGAGATCTTGTTTTGGAAAAAAAAAAAAAAAAAAAGAACACGGTGGAAATGGAGACAGATGGCAGTGTTAAATAGAAAGGTCAGGGGTGGCCTCCTAAGTGAAAATTGAGCAAAGACTTGGAGGGGAAGGAGGTGGCCGAGGTGCTGAAGGAGGAGCGTTGTGGGCCGAAACAACAGAATAAAGTGCCTGAGGCTCTGGAAGGAGGCCAGTGGAGCAGAAGAGGGGGAGAGAATTAGGGGAGGAGGCCATGGAGTTGCTGGGTGGGGATCAGTGTAGATTGTGTAAGCCCTGGGAGGTTATTGCTGGGGCTTTGGCTTTTACTATGAGATGGGAACTGTGGGAAGATTCTGATCTGATTTGTCTCCTGATCTGTCAGGACCTGATCTGTCTCCTGATGTAAAAGCATTCTCTGGCTGCTGAGTTGAGAAAGACTGTGGGGAGATTTGGGTAGAAGCATGGGGGTCAAGCTGTGGTAACATTTAGGTGGAAGATGATAGTGGTCCTGACCAGGGTCATGGTGGTGGTGGTGATAGTCAGAAGAGAGAAGTAGGGGAGGAGTCCAGTGAGTTGCTGGGTGCCATCTTCAGTACATGGTGAAGACAGTCAACAGGATTTCCTGACAGACTGGATGTGGGGTGTGAGAGAAGGCGGGGTCAAGGTTGAGTTTGATTCTTATTGAATTACTAAGTAAGTATTGAAAACTCTACAGCCTTGTCCAGTGTTACCAAATATGGGATGCTAGATTAAAGAAATCTCTTCAGGTGCAGTGCAGTGGTTCATGTCTGTAGTCCCAGATGTTTGGGAAGGAGAGATGGGAGTATCTTTTAAGGGCAGAATATCAAGACCAGCCTGGGAAACATAGCAAGACCTCCTCTCTACAAAAATATTTTTCAAAATTTAATAAAATAAATGTAGCTAGGCATGGTGATGTGTACTTGTAGTCTCAGCTACTCAGGAGGCTGAGGTGGGCAGATCTCTTGAGGTCAGGAGTTTGAGGCCAGCTTGGGCAACATAGCAAGACTCCACACTCTACAAAAAAAATTAAAAATTAGCCAGGTATGATGGCACTCAACTGTAGTACCAGCACTGGGGAGCTGAGGCAGGAAGATGGCTTGAGCCCAGGACATTGAGGCTGCAGTGAGCTATAAGTGCACAACTGCACTCCAGGCTGGGTGGCAAAGCAGGACCTTGTCTCACAATACAAATAAAGTAATGAAATCTCAAGTCAGAACCTTTTGGCTCTGCAGCCCTTGCAACCCTGGAGCCATGGAGTGGGGTTTTAATCGGAATGAGGAGACCCCTGCCCAGTGTTGTTGCCTGACTAATCAGTGTTTTAAAAAATATGTTAATCGGGCTGGGTGCAGTGACTTACGCCTGCATTCCCAACACTTTGGGAGAATGAGCCGGGTGGATTACCTGAGGTCAGGAGTTCAAGACCAGCTTTGCCAACATGGCAAAACCTTATCTCTACTAAAAAACAAAGATTACTTTGGGAGGCCAAGGCAGGTGGATCACGAGGTCAAGAGATCGAGACCATCCTGGTCAACAAGGTGAAACCCCATCTCTACTAAAAATACAAAAAATTAGCTGGGCATGGTGGCGCGTGCCTGTAATCCCAGCTACTCAGGAGGCTGAGGCAGGAGAATTGCCTGAACCCAGGAGGCGGTGGTTGCAGTGAGCCGAGAACGCACCATTGCACTCCAGCCTGGGTAAGGAGCGAAACTCCATCTCAAAAAAAAAAAAAACCAACACAAAGATTAGCCGGGCATGGTGGCGGGTGCCTGTAATCCAAGCTACTTCAGAGGCCGACACAGGAGAATCCTTTGAACTGGGAGGTGGGGCAGAGGTTGCAGTGAACCGAGATTATATGCTTCATTCCAGCCTTGGGGAAAGAGTGAGACTCTGTCTCAAAGAAACAAAAGGATTATTTATATTAATACTTAATAATTTTAGTATTATTATCATTTAAGATGGAGTTTTGCTCCTGCTGTGTGCTCCTGCTGGCCTCAGGAGGCCCAAGCATTGGGTCCTGAAGTCGGCCTCTCCAGGCCCAGCTCCTGCTCTCCTGGCGTCTCCTCCACATGGGTGCAAGATATCCTCAGATGGGTGCCTCCAGGGCCAGCTGCTGCCTCCCAACGGCCCCCTGGGGCCCAGCTTCTGCCTCCCCTCAGCCTCTCTGGGAGGTCCAGCCTATGCCTCCCTTCTGGTGGCCTCCCCAGGCCCGGATCCTATTCCTGGCCTCATCTACTGGACCACGTCCTGCCTCCCGGCAGCTGCTTTTTGCTCAGCTTCTGACCAGCTTCCAGCGGCCTTTCTTCTGTAGGCCCGAAGCTTTCTCAAGTGGGGCTTTTCGGGCCTTCGTTCTGCCTCCTGGTGGCCTTGACTGGCCCTGTTACCACCTGACATTGGCCCCACCGGGCCCAGCTCTGGACTCTCTGCAGCCGCCCCATCACCAGCTGCTCCCTGCTGGTGGCTTCCCCAGGCCAAGATTCTGTCTGCCTTCCTTCCTGCCTGCCTGCCTGCCTGCCTGCCTGCCTGCATTCTGGCTGCGTCCACAGGCCCAGCGCCCCCCTCACACTGGCCTGTTGGGGCCCAGCTCATGCCTTTGGCAAACCTCTCCAAACCCAGCTCTCGTCTCACTCTTGCCTTGAGTCTAGGCCCAGGCACTCCCTCGCAGAGGTCTTCCTCAGCCCAGCTCGCCTATCATGGACTCTCCCAGGCCAGCTCCTGCCTTCCAGCGGCCTGTCCAGGCCCAAAGCTTCCTCTCCGGGCCCGGCCTCCCCAGGCTTAGCTCCTGCTTGCGCCAGGCCCATACTGGGCCCAGCCTCTGCCTTTCAGTGGACCCTCCAGGCCCAGCTCGTGGCATCACCGTGGCCTCTGCTCAGGCCCAGCTCCTGCCTCTGTGGCAGCCTGTATCCACAGGCCCCGCCTCCAGCCTCCCCGTGGCCCTATCAGGCCAAGCCGGTGCCTCCCGGTGGCCCTCCCGCACCCAGCATTGGCCTGCTTGCATCCTCTTCATGCGCAGAATGTCTTCAGGTAGGCCTTTCGGGGCCCAGCTCCTCCTCTCGGCCGTGTCTACAGGCTCAACGTTTGAATTTGCCTCGCAGCAACCTCTGGGGACTCAGTTTCTCCCCAGCTCCTGGCGGCCTTTGTAGGCCCGAAAGCTCAGGCCCTCGACTCAGGCTCTCCAGACCCACCCAGCTCATGTCTCACGCTGGCCTCTCCAGGCTCGGCTTCTGCCCTCCTAGGGCATCTCCAGGCCCCAGACGTTCCTGAGTCAGCTTCTGCTGGCCCCGGCTCCTGCTGCGTTATCCTGCTGGCCTCGGGAGGCCCAAGCATTGGGTCCTGAAGTTCATCTCTGTCGGCCCAGCCTCTGCCCCTTACTGGTGGCCTCCGCACACCCGGATCATCCTGCTGGCTGTGTCTACCGGCTGACATTTTGCCCCCTGGCATCCTCTTTTGGCTCAGCTCCTGGCCAGCTCACGACGGCCTTTCGTCTGTCGGCCCAAAGCTTCCTCGGGGCTTTTGGGGTGTCCCCTCTGCCTCCCGGTGGCCTTGACAGGCCCAGCTACATCCTGACATTGGCCTCTCCATGCCCAGTTCTGGCCTCCTTACAGCACCCCCAGCACCATCCACTGTCTGTCGGCCACTTCCCCAGGCCAAGATCCTGCCTACCTTTCAACTTTGTCCACAAATTCAACGCCTCCCTCACACTGGCCAGTTGAGGCCCAGCTTGGCCTCTAGCAGATGTCTCTGGACTTAGCTATCGCCTTGTACTGGCCTTGAGTCTGGGCCCAGGCAACAGGCCCAAGCTTTGCCCCCGGCAGCCTTTTTTTTTTTTTTTTTTTTATGCAGTTTTGCTTTTGTTACCCAGCCGCGAGTGCAATGGTGTGATCTCGGCTCACCTCAACTTCCGCCTCCTGTGTTCAGGCAATTCTCCTGCCTCAACCTCCTGAGTAGCTGGGATTACAGGCATGCACCACCATGCCCAGCTAATTTTTTGTATTTTTTTTTTTTCCTTCCTCGCACCGGCTTTTCTCAGCCCAGCTTGCCTCTCATAAACTCTCGTTCAGCTCCTGCATCCCAGCGGCCTGTCCAGGCCTGAAGCTTCCTCTCCGGGCCTGGCCTCTCCAGGCCTGGCTCCTGCCAGCTCTAAGCCCCTCCGGGTTGAGTGTCCGCCTCTCAGTGGACCCCCCAGACCCAGCTCGTGGCCTCATTGTGGGCTCCGCTCAGACCAGCTCCTGCCTCTGTGGCAGCCTGTCTCCACAGGCCCAGCTCCTGGCCTCCCAGTGGCCCCCTCGGGCCAAACTCGTGCTCCAGACTGCCCTCTTAGACCCAGCATTGGCCTGGTGGCGTCCTCTTGGGCTGCAGAATGTCTTCAGATAGGCCCCTCGGGGCTCAGCGCCTCCTCTCGGCAGCGTCTACAGGCCCAACTTCTGAATTTGCCTCACAGCAACCTCTGTGGACTCGGCTCCTGCCCAGCTCCCGACAGCCTTTGTAGGCCTGCACGCTCAGACCATCGACTCAGGCTCTCCAGGACTACCCAGCTCATGCCTCACGCTGGCCTCTCCAGGCTCACCTTCTGCCCATCCAGGGTGCCTATAGGCCCCAGATGTCCCAGAGTTGGCTTCTCCAGGCCCGGCTCCAGACTCCTCCTATTGGCCTCTGCAGGTTCAAGCATTGGGTTCTCAATTCAGCCTCTGCCAGGCCCAGCGTCAGTCCTCCTGGCATCTCCTTCCCCATGGGTGCAAAACGTCATCACGTGGGTCCCTTCTAGGGCCAGCTCGTGCCTCCCAAAGGCCCCCTGGGCTCACCTCCTGCCTCCCATCAGCCTCTTCTGGATGCCTACCCTCTGCCTCTGTACTGGTGGCCTCTCCAGGCCTGGATCCTCCTCCTGGCCACATCTACGGGCCCAAGCTTTGCCCCCGGCAGTCTCTTTTTTTTTTTTTTTTGAAACGCAGTTTTGCTCTTGTTACCCAGCCGTGAGTGCAATGGTGTCATCTCGGCTCACCTCAGCCTCTGCCTCCTGGGTTCAGGCAATTGTCCTGCCTCAGCCTCCTGAGTGGCTGGGATTACAGGTATGGGCCACCATGCCCAGCTAATTCTTAGTATTTTTGTTTTTTTGAGATGGAGTTTCGCTCTTGTTACCCAGGCTGGAGTAGAATGGCATGATCTTGGCTCACTCCAACCTCCGTTTCCTGGGTTTAGGCAATCCTCCTGCCTCAGCCGCCTGAGTATATGGGATTACAGGCACGTGCCACCGTGTTCGGGTAATTTTTTTTTTTTTTTTTTTTTTTTTTTTTTTTTTTGAGATGGAGTTTCGCTTTTGTTACCCAGGCTGGAGTGCAATGGCGCCATCTCGGATCACTGCAACCTCCGCCTCCTGGGTTCAGGCAATTCTCCTTCCTCAGCCTTCTGAGTACCTAGGATTAAGGCACACGCCACCATGCATGGCTAATTTTTTGTATTTTTAGGTGAGACGGGGTTTCACCATGTTGACCAGGATGGTCTCGATCTCCTGATCTCATGATCCACACCGCCTCGGTCTCCCAAAGTGCCGGGATTACAGGCGTGAGTTACTGCGCCTGGTCCCCAGCAGCATCTTTTGGCTCAGCTCCTGGCCAGCCCCCAGCGGCCTTTTTCTGTCAACCCAAAGCTTTCTCAGGTGGGGCCTTCTGGGTGTCCCTTCTGTTGAGGACACCGGGAGGCAGAAGGGATGCCCGGAAAGCCCCACCTGAAGAAGCTTCACGCCGACAGATGAAAGGCCACCATGAGCTGGCGAGGAGCTGAGCCGAAAGAAGCTGCCGGGGGCAAAACTTGGGCCCATAGATGTGGCCAGGATGAGGATCCAGGCCTGGTGAGGCTGCCAGTAGGGAGGTAGAGGCTGGGCCTCCTGGAGAGGCCGCCTGTGGGAATCAGGAGCTGGGCCCCAGGAGGCCACTGGGACGCAGGAGCTGGCCCTGGAGGGGACCACATGATGATGTACTGCGCCCAGGTTGGGGGGTGCTGCCGGGAGGGCAGGAGCTGGACCTGCAGAGGCGGACTTCATGACCCAGTGCTTGGGCCTCCCAAGGCCAGCGGGAGGACAAAGCAGGACTGGGCCTCAGGGCTGAGCTCTGGACTCCCCGCTGCCCCCACAGCCCCAGCTGCTGCCTGCTGGCTGCTTCCGCAGGCCAACATCTTTCCTGCCTGCCTGCCTGCCTCCCTGCATCTCGGCTGCATCCACAGGCCCAGCGCCTCCCTCACACTGGCCAGTTGAGGCCCAATTCATGCCTCTGAAAGACGTCTCTGGAGCCAGCTATCGCCTGGTGATGGCCTCTACTCTGGGCGCAGGTCCTCCCTCGCACCAGCCTTTCTCAGCCCAGCTCACTTGTGATGGACTCTCGCGTGCCAGCTCCTGTCCCCCGGCGGCCTGTCAGGGCCCAAAGCTTTCACTCCGGGCCCAGCCTCCCCACACTGGGCTCCTGCCTGCGCTAGGCCCTCGGGCCCAGCCTCCACCTCTCAGAGGACCCTTCAGACCCAGCTCCTGCCTTTGTGGCAGCCTGTTTCCACAGGCCCAGCCCCCAGCCTCCCTGTGGCCCCCTGGGGCCAAGCCAGTGCCTCCCAGTAGGCCCTGCCGGGCCCAGCATTGGCCTTCTGGCATCCTCTTCATGTCCAGAATGTCTTCAGTCAGCCTCTCAGGGCCCAGCGCCTCCTCTTGGCAGCGTCTACAGGCCCAGCTTCTGAATTTGCCTCACAGCAACCTGTGTGGACTCGGCTCCTGCCCAGCTCCCGACGGCCTTTGTAGGCCTGAAAGCTCAGACCATCAACTCAGGCTCTCCAGGACTACCCGGCTCATGCCTCACGCTGGCCTCTCTAGGCTCACCTGCCCACCCAGGGTGCCTATAAGCCCCAGATGTCCCAGAGTTGGCTTCTCCAGGCCCAGCTCCAGACTCCTCCTATTGGCCTCTGCAGGCCTAAGCATTGGGTTCTCAATTCAGCCTCTTCAGGCCCAGCTTCAGTCCTCCTGGCATCTCCTCCCCATGGGTGCAAAACGTCATCACGTGGGCCATTCTAGGGCCAGCTCATGCCTCCCAAAGGCCCCCTAGACTTAGCTTCTGCTTTCCTTCAGCCTCTCCTGGACACCTAGCCTCTGCCTCTGTACTGGTGGCCTCTCCAGGCCTGGATCCTCCTCCTGGCCATGTCTCCGGGCCCATGTTTTGCCCCCGGCAGCCTTTTTTTTTTTTTTTTTTGAGACGGAGTTTTGCTCTTGTTACCCAGGCGGGAGTGCAATGGTGTGCTTTCATCTCACCTCAACCTCCGCCTTTTGGGTTCAGGCAGTTCTCCTACCTCAGCCTCCTGAGTAGCTGGGATTACAGGGATGCACCACCATGCCCAGTTAATTTTTTGTATTTTTTTTTTTTTTTGAGACAGAATTTTGCTCTTGTTACCCAGGCTGGAGTAGAATGGCGCGATCTCGGCTCACCGCAACCTCCGCCTCCTGGGTTCAGGCAATTCTCCTGCCTCAGCCTGCTGAGTAGCTGGGATTACAGGCACGCACCACCGTGCCCAGCTAATTTTTTCTTTTTTTGAGATGGAGTTTTGCTCTTCTTGCCCAGGCTGGAGTGCAATGACACAATCTCGGCTCACTGCAACCTCCGCCTCCTGGGATCAGGCAATTCTCCTGCCTCAGCCTTCTGAGTATCTGGGATTACAGGCACATGCCCCCATGCCCAGCTAATTTTTTGTATTTTTAGGTGAGACGGGGTTTTACCATGTTGATCAGGATGGTCTCGACCTCCTGACCTCGTGATCCACCCGCCTCGGCCTCCCAAAGTGCTGGGATTACAGGCGTGAGTTATCACACCTGGTCACCAGCAGCATCTTTTGGCTCGGCTCCTGGCCAGCTCCCAGCGGGCTTTCATCTGTCGGCCCAAAGCTTCCTCAGGTAAGCCCTTCTGGGCATCCCTTTTGCCTCCTGGTGGCCTCAACAGAAGGGACACTTAGAAGGCCCCACCTGAGGAAGCTTCACGTCAACACAAAAGGCCGCTGTGAGCTGGACTGGAGCCAAGCCAAAACAGGCTGCCGGGGGCAAAATTTGGGCCTGTAGATGTGGCCAGGATGAGGTTCCAGGCTGGTGAGGCTGCCAGTAGGGAGGCAGAGGATGGGCCTCCTGGAGAGGCCACCTGATGGGAATCAGAACCTGGGCCCCAGGGGGCCACTGGAATGCAGGAGCTGTCCCTGGAGGGGACCACATGATGGTGTATTGTGCCCACGTTGGGTGGTGCTGCCAGGAGGGCAGGAGGTTGACCTGTTGAGGCGGACTTCATGACCCAGTGCTTGGGCCTCCTGAGGCCAGTGGGAGGACAAAGCAGGACCGGGCCCCAGGGCCAAGCTCTGGACTCCCTGAAGCCTCCCCAGCCCCAGCTGCTGCCTGACGGCTGCTTCCTCAGGCCAAGATCTTGCCTGCCTGCCTGCCTGCCTGCATTCCGGCTGCATTCACAGGCCCAGTGTCTTCTTCACACTGGCCACTTGAGGCCCAATTCATGCCTCTGAAAGACGTCTCTAGAGCCAGCTATCGCCTGGTGCTGGCCTCGACTCTGGATGCACGTCCTTCGCACCGGCCTTTCTCTGCCTAGCTCACCTGTCATGGACTCTCCCGGGCCAGCTCCTGTACCCCGGCAGCCTGTCAGGGCCTGAAGCTTTCTCTCTGGGCCCAGCCTCCCCACACCGGGCTCCTGCCTGTGCTAGGCCCTCGGGCCCAGCCTCTGCCTCTCAGAGGACCCTTCAGAACCTGCTTCTGCCTTTGTGGCAGCCTGTTTCCACAGGCCCAGACCTCAGCCTCCCCGTGGCCCCCTGGGGCCAAGCCAGTGCCTCCCAGGGGGCCGTACCGGGCCCAGCGTTGGCCTTCTGGCATTCTCTT